CTCTCTCTCTCTCTCTCTCTCTCTCTCTCTCTCTCTCTGTGTGTGTGTGTGTGTGTGTGTGTGTGTGCGCGCGCGCGCAGGCGCACCCACCCACACACAGTTTGTGTGAACCCCACAAAAAAAGCATGACTGTGCCAGACTGTTTCGTTGGACTTTCACCAACTCAGCAGGAGGTTGAACCCCGGCAGTCTGCCCATGATGCATTTGCATGCATGGGTGCGTTCGTGCTTGTGCGTGCATGTGCTTGTTCGAGTGGACGGGCGGGCGTTCGTGTGAGTGCGTGTTGTGCGCCGCCAAAGATATGCGGGGGGGGGGGGGGAGCCGCTGAGCCCAAGAGGAGACCGTCGCACCCGGAACCAGTTTCTCCCCACGCCTGGCAGCCCTAACTTCGGTTGGGCTGCAAACTTCTTATCTGGGCCGTTGGCCAACTGGTACCGCGAACGGCCTGGATAGCCGTGCGATCTTAAAATCTTAAGATCGCGGGCCAATCCGGGCCATCGCGCCGGTAAGTCCGCGGACGGCCATGATGTCGAAATTCTCACATGAGCGATATTAATGTGTAGGGATTTCGCAAAGAACTCCCATGTGACCCTGAGGCAGAAGTTGCTCAGTTTATTTTTTTTTCTGCACAACATAGTTTTTCTTTTTTGGATCTGCTTTTTTTTTTTTTTAACAGGGACCTTCGCTGGCCATTGCCCGGCCAGGGCACCCGGGCATCCAACGTCACCCACGCGGCCGGATTGACAACACAGGTATTTTTGTACAGTGTGATATGGTATATGCACTACACCATTATGTAGGATCTTAATTTCTTAAACATATTACATCTTTTTTTTTTTTTTTTTCCTTAAACATATTACATCGATTTGATCCAAGTTTTTTTTTCCCAATACCAGGATTTATTTTTTTCAATACCAGGATACCCCCAAGGAGTAAGGGGTCTTTTTCTTCCAACGGATGTACGATCTTCTCCTCCTCCATGAGGGTGGTCTACTGGATTCATTGCTGTGCCTCTTACTTCGGCGATTTGACTACTTCTGTATTTATGCATTTATTGTAGAGTACCCGATAATAAACCAGGTTCACAATTTAACTTATTTCAAGTTATGTGTATACAAGTTCCCAGGCTGCCAGAGTGGCCCGGGACCACTTTTATCTACAGGTTCGGCCCGGGACCACTTTTATCTACAGGTTCGGCCCCCGCCAAAAAAAAATTCGGGGCCTAAAAATAAGTTCTTTTTTCTGAATTTTTTTTTGTGAGTTCTCTATGATGTAATCTACAGGCCTATAAAATTTGAAGCCATTCTGCTAAGCCAAAAAAACATTAAAAATCGTCAAAGATGGGGGTGTCAAAACGTGCTCGCCCACTCACTACTTTGTTTTTTTTCACTTTTTCCTTTTTGTTTTCACTTTATTTCGGGGCCTAAATATTTTTATTATTTTTTGAAAACTTTTTAACGAGTTACTGATTATGTAAACTACATATCTGTAAATTTTCARGGCATTTGTCAATGCCAAAAAATAATTAAAAATCGGCGAAGATGGCGGTGTCGAAAAGGTGCTGGCACACTCATTTTAATTCTCTTTTTATTTTTTCTTATTTTTATCATCGTGTTTATTTTCTGTATTTGATTTTTAATTCAAATTTGGTAAGAATTTGGATGTAGCACCCAGGCAAATGTTGTTTAGTTTATTTTTCTCCATACCATATTTGTTTTCCGGAATTTTTTGAAAACTTTATTTTATTATTATTATTTTTTTTGGTCCGCCTTCGGCCCGAACGGCCGACCGCCTTCCGAAGGGGTCCCGTACGTTCGGGCGTTCGGGTTCGGGCGTTCGGCCTGTCCCGAAGGCCGGCAACCCTGATAACAATAATAATAATAATAATAATAATAATAATAATAATAATCTGGAAAAAAAAATGTTGTGTCGAATTGCCATAGAAACAACTTTTGGCTGAGGGTCACATCAGAATTCCTCACGGAACTGGAGATAAAAGAGAAAATAACCGGATCTCGCCAAGGCACCCCCCTTTAGAGTCCTCTAGCCCCTTGAAAAAAATTTATACCCGCCTTGCCCCACCTTTAAAGCCAACACTCAAAAAGAGAAAAGAGCCCGGATCTGGGCTCCTCGCATGGAAACCCCCCACCGGTCATGCCCGGGCGTCCGACCCCCCGGTCATGCCCGGGTGACCAGCCAGCCGGTCCAGACCGGTCGGTCATGAAAATATTCCCAGTTTTTTTGTTTTTTTTTTTGGTAAAGAATTTCGATTTCACCCTGAGGCAAAAGTTGTTCAGTTTATTTTTCTGCATAACATACTTTTCTTTCGGATTTTTAAACGTTCTTTGGATTTTGTGGAATTATTGTTTTTGGGTGGGACCTTCCCCGGTCCTTGCACCGTCGGGCCGCCCGGGAAAACAGGGTGACCCGGTTGGTCCGGCTGGTAGCCTAGTGAGTAAATATATTATATATCGTCAAAGACAGTCAAACAAAACTGCTCGTCAAACCGTCAGCAGAGAGGGAGGAGGACAACAAACGAGGGGCTGGGACAAACTGTTTCGTCGCAGTTTCACCGACTCATCAGGAGGCTGTACCCTCAACAGTCTGCAGAATCCCCTAACTGATTA